TAATTGTGTATCTTTGTAGGCATGGTAGGTAAGGTAGGCTTTATTTTAATATTTGTTTGCTTTGATTTTGGAGAAAGAAAATGCTAGGTTTTACGTCTTTGCCTTGATTTTGGGGAGTTGTCAATTAATTGTAATTTAATATCAATTAAATAATTAGATTTTTGGGAATTCATAAGAGGAGCATATCACGTGGAATTTGGATTTTTTAATTGATTTTAATATTGGAATGGAATAGGAATTATGCATGCAATTCATACGCTTTTTCACGTGTCCACAGAATTATGCAATCATTGTGTCTCTTGCAAAAAATCTAATAGGGAATCTCCAAATTAGTTTATATCAATTAGAGAATTGAACCAAATTCTGGGAAACTTTGGACGAAATTTTTGGGGTAATTTACCCGAATTTTTGTGATTTGTTCTAAAGTGTTCACACCACACCACTTCTGTTCTACTATATATATGACATAAGACCTTAAGCATTTTACAATTAATTCCTCATTCTGCAGTACGCTTCAGTACGTCGATTATCTCTCCCTTTTTAAAATATTCCTCCATATTATTAAGACTTTTTTAAGGCTTTGGAATTTCAATCACGTTTTCTACAATTTTGTCCTCCACTTTCATCTTCAAAAGATGAGATACTCAGTGCTATTAGTGATTTTTCCACATCTTTTCAAATGCATTATTATGTATGAATTTAATTACTTCAATCCAGGCTCCTTCGGAAGAAATCATGATATATTTTAAGGCACAATTTAGCCTTCACGTTATTTTGCAGCGCTTGTTAGAATTATCATTTATCATGATATGATAATTCTCATTGTATATTGGTAAGAGAATTTATTCGTAATTTCATATTTGACTTGAATGTTGAGTAGCAAGTATCTCATTGAGTATAATTCGTTATACTTATCCCCTTTATTTACAATTTTCAGGTAAGAATTAGTATGCTGGACGGCGGTGGATGGATTTGCTATTGGACCAACGGATCCTCATCATGAAGTACTTTAACTTTCAGAAACACTATAATTTTAATAATAATGGGTTTTTTTTTTTTTGACTCAATTGTGAGTACGTTAAAAATTTCAATTAGTTCTAATTGTTCTAATAATGTTTGATGAATGATATGTTTTCAAACGTTCCGCATATTTTAAATTTATCTTTTGATTAAATGTTATTCAATTTTTTTTACAGAATTTCTCGTTATATTAAAACTATTTATTTCAAGCCCTTTGATATATTCATGTTTCGTAACATTTCGGGTTATTAGAATTCGGGGCGTTACAAACCATACATTCATAACTACTACCCATTTATTATTCACACATTTACTACTATTCCTCCTTATAAGTTACTTATAATTTCAGCCACAGGCAAAGTTGCTAATTATAATATGATAGAAATGATGGTGGATAAATAGATAGTAATGGTGGGTCTACAAAATGTGTAATTAGAATTAATGTTTAATTTTGACCAATGAGAAGAATAATAGAGCCATAATAGCTAGCTGCAAGAGACTACCCATACGGGTTCAACTTAAATTTCTTTAGAACAAACCACATGTTTAACCATGATAGTATATTAATACCTGAAATAGAATAAGTCCAATTAGAACAGGTTGTGTATCAAACCCGAAACTCTGAAAGAGGTCTTTTGAGTTCCTTACAAGCGTGTACCCTCCAAACTGCAAAAACGTGAGGATCTGCATTTGGATAAAAACTCGGTGAGAATTAAAAGTATAAATATCAGCAACATTCATAAAGAATAGCTTTTATTCCAATTTATCAAGCACAAGAATACATGGTTATTCCAGAAACTTCTCAAATGGAACATCAGAAAGACTGGATATGATAAAATATAGCACAGATCGAGAAACGATAACTATGCCAGAAAATATCCAATTCACGTGCCACACACAACTCGTAAGAAATTCTTCCATAATTAGCACAAGAATCTAAGTTCATATTTTCAAAAGCCAGAGAGACTTGAAATAGGCAAGTATAACACGAGACAGGTAGTGAGCTTGAGCATTAATCGATAAAAATCCCAAGTACATTTAATTATGTCGTATTTTTCTCATTCCATTTCTTTATAGTGCCACCATCAAAAGATGATTGCATTAACAATTCAACCAAGTAACCAGCCTTTAGAATCATAAACCTCTCACCAGATCACTAAGTAATCCACTTTACAGAAATTAGATAAGAGCTTTAACAAGAATTGCCACCATGAAGTTATGTTCCGAAGGAAACTAAAGTTCAAGATGATCAGAGATTGTTCTAGGAACATGAAAAACATTTTAACTCGTCTGAATAATTAGCGCTTCTTCCCACCATTATCAATGAACTTACAGGATGAGATTTACTGATATGACAAACAAAGTTAAGATCAACAGATGACAAAACAATTGGAAAATGTCATTCAAGTGTAGGATGTACCATTTTATCTAACAGCAAAAAAAAGTTCAAACAGACAAATCTAGCAACAAACCTTTGCACCACAAGAGTAACTATCGACGACCTATAAAAATTTCCAACAAGACATGTAGACAATCATGTTCGTCCCCGCACGCCTTCCAGAAAATAAATAGGTAGACCATAATTATTCGATTTATATACATGAAAAATGCAATAATTTTTAGGGCAAAACGGGAACAGCAACAACATTTGGTTCGCAATTCTATATGCCCAAATAAGTATTTACAATTGGCCTGCTAGAAATTGACTAACATACCTGAATCGCAATGAAGGAGTACACAGTATGATTAAGCTTCCAGTGACCCAGTTCATGTGCTATTACAGCAACAACTTCCTCATCATTTTTGCACTGCATTACATCAGCCAATAGGCGAGATGCAACAGAAGAGTTGGAAAAAAATTTCAGGAAAAAAAGGAAAAGAAAAAAGACAATCATGACATTAAAACGGAAGCCCTAATACAACAAACAAAACCCTGATCAAGTCTATAAAGATTACAGGAGCTATGAATAAGTATCATATGTGGTATTATTAATGTCAAAACACTTGAAATGTGAAGTATTCACTGGGTTGAATCGTCAAAGAACGTTACTTGCTCTCCTACAATCTAGAAATCATAGATAACAGCATAAGGACTTGAGGCTCATGAAAATTTGTCAACATTTTTCTTTTATTAATATTACTAGTGGTGAGTATCATATAATATATAGTCAGCACTCTTAATATATGATGCATGGAAACAGCATTTGACCTGGACTATTTAGAACTACAAAGTTCACACTTAAAACACATCAGCCTTACATATGTTCTCCTCGTGCATTTCGGAAAACGTCTTTGCTATGATTTGTCACCAAAACTAGATTCTCAGAATAAAGAAGTCGTGTAAGCATCGTTTATTCAGGGGTTCTGTACAACAAATAGCATATGATTTTGGCACAAGTCTATGATTATGTCACCAATGATATGTTTCAATACAAGCAAACTTACTAATCTCACAAGGACCTATTTTTCTTCAGCCATCATATGTCACACACACAAGTATTTGTAACTTGTTCTCATGATTACAAAAAACTATCTAACACATTTATAAAACGATGTGCCCAAAGCCATTTCTAAACAAGAATTATCACTAACAACTTACTCAGAAGCATAATAAAAGGAAGAGAAAATTTCCAAGTACAGTATGATAGCGCTTTCATACCTGCTGAATCAATGTGTCGTAAAGGACAATGCGCTTGTTCTTGAAAAATCCATACATGTACGCCTATAGAAATGTAGAATTGTAAGTCATAACAGGTGGACGAGGGAAGCCAAATAGGAAACATTCATAGAGGGCAAAATTAAGAGAAAATGGATATTAAAACATAACGAATTGACAGTGAAAAACCAAAGAAATATTCTCTCCTCTTATGTAAAGCCAAGAAGTATGGATATCATCCTAATTGTTAAGATGAGTTAAGTCAATTGTGATAGCGCATTATATCATTTCCAGTTCCATTAGATTCTTTCTTCAACAGATATCTCATTAGGTGACAGCAAAAACATATCATGTGAAATCATGTAATACCCGTGCTCCTCCTAGACAGGTTATTAAGGTGCTGTTACTAGGGATCCCAATACATTTTATTACACTGCGATGACATACACCAGCTCAGAATCATATCATATACTCATAGCTGCATGGTAGACCTCAAATCTACTTTCAGGGCATCATGTGGAAGTGGCAAATACTTCTCCATGACTGCTAGAATCATACTCAGTAGTAGCATACTAGATTTCGACTCTCCATTTCAGATCATTCTATTGCATGTTGAAGACCTCTTTGTAGGATTGAATACAATTTTTCTATACCAAAGGTGAAAAACGCACCATAAAGAATAATTTTTTGTTTTAGGCCAAGTCCTTATTGCAACTAATAGCTCATAGTCAAAATCGATTGCAGACAGTTCTTACTAATACCGAACATTATGGCTCAATGTTAGAAACACTCAACTTCAGGATCAATGACTTTAAAACAATTCATCAGATTCCTCAACAAACATGCAAGATATGGAACCAGAGAGGTGGTGATGGTGTTTCTGTTGGCTTGTACAGAAGGGGGTAGCTAATTCCATAAAATGGGTGAACAACTCATTCTAATCTAGAAAGAGTATCAACTTTTACCCAAAAAAAAAAAAAATGTAATATCTTTTCTTTTACTTTATTCTTCTTATATCTTGCATGGTTGAAGATATAATGTAAGGTGCAATGCCATGGGTCTAGAAGTAAATTGCTGTACGTACATGCAGACCATATAAAACAAAAGCAAAAAACTAATCTGGCCCCACTAAAGTTTGGTGACAATAGCAATGTCTGAAAACAAGTGCCACGGAGACATAATACCAAGCCATTCTTTTTCGTTTTCTTTACTATTGTATCCATGCATTCTCTCTACATCTTCATCCTTGTCCCATTTGTCCTTCTCCAAGTTTCAGCAACAGAATCCGGTCCAGATTGCTTAGTCTTTCTGTTGAGTGCTTGTTGCATATTAGCTGCTTGTCAGGTCTCACACAAAATCTTCCTCCACCCTTTTTCACATGACTGCCAATCTTCCTCCATTCTTCTTCACCAGAGAGTCTGTTCAGGAATATCATCAGCTTTAAATGTATCAGCACCTCAGGACCTTATCTTACCCCACTTGAGTCTGGAAACTCATCCTCAGCCCTTTACTGAACATTCTTTACAGTATTTGATCTCTTAATGCTGATTGGAGCTGTGTATGACTTCAGTTTATCATATTTGAGTTTTTGTGCTTTTATTGTTGCTCTGATCAGCTAAGGCGTAATTTCTAGATATTATTACTGCAAATGTACAACTCATTATAATGGTAATTTTAATCATAAAATTCCTGGTTGAGCTTCCTCTATCAACTTGTATGTGTAATAGGTGCCCGATTTAGACAAAGCTATTTGGTCATTTCTCTCCAAATCCATTACCACACTGGTAAAGGATAATCCTTCAGTTTAGACTATCTGGAAGGTCGCGTTTCCTGTAAAATTAACACCTCACTTGAACAGTAATTCTTCATACTACAGAGGATGTGTTAAGTAAGACGATAATCCTATGTATAGAACGAAAATCCAAGATGCTTGAAGAAATCCAACAATATTTAAATTTCTTTGCTTATTCTGTATGCTTCACCAACTCCAAATGATTATATAATTTCATGAACATAAACCTACAAGCTTGCTCCTCAGAAAACTAGAAACCAGCCTACATTTATTGGGAATAAAGATTCGTTCATTGTTGTCCAAAAATAACTATGAAACCTGGTATTCAAAAGGGGAAAAAACAGAGGATGGTAACAGTATAAAGAAAAAATCGCCACTCATTCCACCATAATTTTAAGTTAGGAATCAAATCAAATATAATCTGACACTTTTAATAGCATTTGCCCCAAGTGCAGATTCTCATTGTCACAAAGACAATATATATTGCACTGCAAACAATCCAATATATAAATAAATAAGAAAAAAATGATCTACCTGACATTTCTATAGAAATCTTATAAAATGCACCCATGAAAAGAAAGCTAGAAAACTACAATATAAAAAGAAAATCCTTACATTGCTATGGCTTGACCTTGTGGATCCATCAATAACGAACAATTTCTTCAAGGGAAATTTCAGGGATGAAGCAAGATTCTCAATTTTGACCCTAAGCTCTCCATCTGGAAGCTATTTGTTGGCCAAAAAATTTTATGAATAAATAAAGAGAATCCAAAAAGGTGGGATAAAGTCAGCCATCAAATACTACATGCTACTTAAAATGTTTTCCAAGTTAAAAATAATTCGACAACTTACCGGTGTGAATTTGTTGAAAAGTGGAGCAATCAAAATTGGATAAAAAGTCATCATGACAAGAGACAGAACAAACATAAAAGCCCACAGATAAATGGCCAAGTATGGACCTCCTTTCTGCAACCAAAAGACACCATTCACTTACCTAATTAATCTCTTTCTTTCTGTCAATGATTCTGAAGTGATTATTCCCAGTTTATAAATGTTGAGAACGGCAATGAGAAAGAAATCAAAATATAAATCGTAATTAAAGGTGTAGCAACAAAATTATGTTGATCCATAGGTAATTATTACCATTAGCAGATTTATTAGAGAGAAAATATACCTGTACTATTACAATGATGGCAGCTACAATAGGTGGACCAATCACTACAGATAAGACAATCCCTTTTATCATGTCCCTAAAGAATAACCATATTGTTTGCTGTAAAAAGAAAAAATAAAATAAAAAAATCAAGTTTTAAAGAAACAAGTTGAACACTAGAAGATAAGAAAAAAGAAACAACATGCCAGAAAAGTTAGAATGAAAAACAAAGAAAGTCTCATCAGGCATTCCAGACCTTTCTAGCGGAGGGGTGTGCTATATTAAAATGGACATAAAGTGAAAGTAAATACCTTGTTGAAACCATGGCGAGCCTCAATTACAAAGGTTGAGTACAAAGAAAATGGCAGATCAGTTATCTGTGTAAGGATATAAAACAACTGTCAATACCAAATAGTTACACAGATGTTCATATACAGCTACTTCAATACATTGAATTGTGCCAAATGCTTGCGTTACTAGTCTCCTCCTAGATATCATGATGTTATAACTGCACATCCAGCAAAGAACATTGAGTTACTTGCAAGTAATTTTAAGCTACTGGACATGATTGACAAAGTGGAGTACAAAAAGCACACAAAGAGTTACTGTGAAAGTGATCTAAGACTGGTTTGAGTTGATTGAATTAGTGTACCCTTTAAACTTATTTGATCTTTAAGTTCTGATTCATTTTGTAATCCTGCTTCCTCTAGCTTTGGAAGTGCGAAAGCATAGAACTGCAAATCAATTCATTCAACCATTCTCTCATGGGAAATACAAGTGTTAACCTTGCTCTCCTAGCCAGAAAACCTCATGAATCTACCCCCC